TGGCTGGTGACCCGAGGTTGAGCGGCGCCGCCGGGGGGGGGGGGGGGAGGAAGGGGGCGCTGGTGGGGGTCTCTCCACCACCAGCTGTCGGCAGAGGAGTGTTTATGGTTCTGTGTTTCACTGGGTCGGTGGGCAGCGGAAGCGAGCTTTTACGGGTTCCGGCGCGCCCACCCCCCGTCCCTCTCCCTCCCCTCTGCACTATGGTTGGAAACGGCCTCACGGATGGCCGTGGGCAATTTCGGAATGTATGTATATTTGGGGTGTCATTCTGTTGGAAAATGATGAAATGTTTTGAATTGGGCAGAAAAAATTATTTAGTTGCGCATTTAGTCTCCATTATCGTACGTGGAATCGAGAGTTTCTGATAGTGGCTTTTTTGGTGCGCCGTCAAAGGTTTAAACAACCGCGCTGGTGATAGCATGTGGAGTACCTCCATGACGTTGTAAAACTGGATTATTATATATCAAAATAATCCTTGTTATGTTGGCTATCGAGTGGAGTGACTCTTTTTCCCATGCGTGTTCAAAATCAGGAACGGCATTGCATTCTGTTTGCAGTGTCACCACAGCAATATTTGCAAAATTACGTTTATGTTTCATTGGACATACAAAAAGTTCTCCATCGACCTCCATTGAGCTTTTTGGCAGAATAAATCTCTGTTCAATTCTGCGTAAGGGGAACGTAAAAGCAGACTGCGCACTTGTGCGCAAAATCGTCCGTGAAGCTTCATCTCCCGAGGCGTACCTACCCGTCGCTTCGTTAGCACCAGGTCGGCTCGTCAGTCTTGCAATCGCTTATCCTTATAAATGATGGTAAGAAGCAGGGTTGCGGAGTCGTGGTGGCGCTAAATCCGACTCCGACTTCGACTCCGACTCCTGACTCGTTGCCATGACTCCGGCCGACTCTGTCTCCGACTCCGGACCCCTGCCAGTGTTTCGGAGTCGTGATGGAGCTGTTCCGATTCGGACCGACTCCGACTTCCACTGCGGGCTCCTGACCGACCCCGACTCCGACTCCGACTCCTGGCTCGTTGCCACGACTCTGGGCGACTCTGACTCCGACTCCGACTCTGACTCCGACTCTGACCTCGACTCCGCACCCCTCGTAAGAAGAAACTGCTCGCCCCTGCACCTGGAGTATGGATATCGTGCAAACGTGTATGGATATCCTGGAGTATGGATATGGATATCCACCGACAGAGCAGACATACAGACATGCTGTAAACGCCATTACACTGCCAATACCATGGCAAATCAAATGGCTATCTATGGTTTTTGATCATCGTTCTACATTTTCCAAAATCATGAACTGAATGTTGGCAATTTCTCGTGACTACTTCACGACCATGATGCATGCATTTCTGAAATTGATCTTTTTTCAACCAGCCACGTTCTCGTATGATAAAATGAATGTCACCATCGTGTTCTACGCCCAAAAGTACCCATAAAACATGTGTCATGCATGGGCTGCGAATAGGTACCAGTTTTAATTTTTGGGGTTATGTGCTTACCTGATTGACCTGACTTTGACCCTGGCCAGTGGCCTATGTTTGACTGACCCCTACATTGATCTGACACTCTTTTAGCACTTATATGAAGGGTTGTGACAGTTGTGACAGTTGTGACAGATTGTTTAGGACCAACTGATGACTGAATTTATTTAGGACCAACTGATGACGATATAATCGAAACGCGAAACGCGAGGCACCTATTGCGAGGTTCTAAAGTCCATGCTACTGAAAGCCCGATTTCAAGTGTTTGACCTGACCTTGACCCGACCTGTGACCTCGAAATTCAACTTTAAAGTATTCATGTGAATCGTCTCGTCGCGTTCTTCTTTCGTTTGCCGCGCCTCGTGCGTTTCGCTGCGCCTATTTGTTCGCGAGTTATCGGCTGGGGGCGTTGAACGCCCCCCCCCCCCGGCAAACGGCGGATGGGGAAATACCCCAGCAACTGCCGGGTTAATCTGACGCATGTTTTATCATTTGATCGTCATTTTATTTCTTACTTTTTTGCCCAATCTAAAAAAAAATCATAAATACTCTTTCTCCAAATTTTTGACCCTTTATGACCAATAGTAAGACACTGTGCGTCACTACGTTGATATTTCTCGCCCTAAAGCATAACAACAATATCCATTCAGTAATAGCAGTATTCAAAACATGTTCAAAATGCCTTGCGATATCGATAACATAACGAAAGACATGGGCGACTTATAACATACTTTCAATGATGACTTCACACACGCGTGACGTGACGTGACCTCGTCATTTCTGAGTTACTGCATGATGCACGAAAGACACTGGTATACCTATGCAAAGTTTCATCGCAGTCGGTCTACGCATTAACAAGTTATGGGCAAAACATTTTTTCGCGTTGACCCCCGGCCATCCGTGAGGCCGTTTCCAACCATAGTGCTCTGGAGCGATCGTCCGGCTCTGCACGGGTGGAGAGAGTGGATCGCAGCACCAGTCGGACCAGAGTGTTTGTGCATCTGTTGGGCTGCAGCCTCGCACGTCCGGAATGGACTTTATTGCGTGCCCAAGCACCTGCCTGTCTGCAGCATTCAGCAGCAGTGTTTACGGTGTAACAGGGGCCCTGGGCGTGCCACCTTTATGCTGAACATTGCTCTTTTTTTATAAATTGGTATCTTACACAGGAAAATGCATTACTCTGACCAATATTTATTGAAAAACACATTTTATCTATTTTTCTGGTCAGATTAATATCTTCTATTTTTAAGTTTTTTTTTATTCAGGTAATAGTGGAACTTTCTAACGTTAGCTCTCAACCAGCTCTAAAAGACAAACAACTGCAACAACGTTAGAAACGAAGTTCAGGGCTACTCGTACGCAAATAAAGCGCATGCTAACTTCAGTTCAGCACAGGTGACATTCAGTTCCAGTTCCAGACAAACTTACTTCGAACAGTTGCGTATCGATCTTCTGTTAGGAGAGAATGAACGGTGACACTAAAGACACTCCCTCTCCACTTTCTTATTGGATGGTCTTCGTAATTTACATAGAGAGTGGAGCGAAAAAATTGGCACCGACTTCCATAATGACTGCATTTGGCATCGAGATGGTCGGCTGGAGGGGCGAAATAAAACGTGAGCGTTGCCTTGTAGTGCCTTTGCTCCGCATTGCTGATACATAGCTAAGTGCTTTCGGCAGTATTCGACAATGTAGCTATTACGATGTTCTTGGCCCTCTCACTATGTCAAGAAGGTAAAGCCGCGGACCAAAATAGTTGATTTGGGTTGCTGTGGCAAACGATCAAGTAGGCAATATCCCATTTAAAACGATTGCTGCTACAATTGGACAAAACAATAATTGCCACACTACAAATACAAGTATTTAGGTAGTAAACCTATTAACTTCATCCTTGTCGGTTGTTCGGCAAATCAGCTTCATGAGCAATCAGCATTGCCATGGGGTTACGCCGTTCCTACTCGTCCAATTGCGTCTCGATAGCTCAGTGTTCCACGGCCGTCCTCCAAACAGCACAGCTCACTAGTCCCCATTCCCGACAGGCGGAGACGCTATTTTATCCGTGAATTCAATCAGGGACCATTTGAATTCACCGGGGGTGGCCGCGCCCTTTGATTTGCCGCGAGTTGATTCGGGATCCAGCCGAGACAATCCGCGGCGCCGCGAATACGTCACTGCGGCAATCAAGGCTCAGACACAATTAGAGCCGTCGGCATGTAGCGGCTGTCCGCTGAGTCAGGGCGCAACAGAGAGCAAATTGACGCGTCGAACGCCTCCGGTCTTGAGACCATGGTCTACTTCGCTTGTATACGTGTATAGACTCAAAATCACTTCTCCGAATTTGGATCGAAATGGAGCTTTTATGTCTGTTTAGAAGTATGATCGAGATAACATGTCAAACACTTGGTTTACATCGAAGTCAGACCAAGTGGGTCTCGAGACATTTGGGATGAGCATCGAACTCACATATTTATTGACAGTTTTGACAACCAGATAATGTCTCGGATGCTCTGAAGTCGACCATTGAGAAGCTTGAAAATGTGGTAGATAACTAGTTTACCGAATACAAAACATGGCTCTGAACATATTTTCTAGGATGGTAAACATATTCTTATCAGATCCCCGTAAATCTCTCGACACCGAGCACGAAGCTAATGCATTTATCTAAAGAAATGGAGCACGGAGAGGCTATTTGGCATTAACGGGATCGCATAGAAAGAGAAAAAGGTTCCGGCGATGGCAGCAGCTTGGACTAAATTTCCAGTTCGTATACATCAACAGAGCAAATGAAGGACAACTACAGTTCAGCTAATACATGGAGCAGATTAACTTATTATTGTTCAAATGCTTACTCATTGGCAACACTTTTTTGAGAGGGGAGAGGGGGAGGGATAAAATTATATTACACCAGATACTACATACGTACCACATTAGGTAGCCGACCTGCAATTCCAAAACACCGCTCCACCTTCCTCTACTAAGATCCGTCGCCGTCGAATCACCACCAGGTGCGTTGCCTCTCCGAGAGCCCCTGAAGGGACGACGCCAGCTGTTCTGCAGCACCCTCATCCTGAGGGTGACGATCAAAGGACACCGCACGCCCCGATCAAAGGGTATACCGCACGCCCCGATCAAAGGGTGCCGCACGCCCCGATCAGAGGGTGCAGCCGTGCTGTGGGTCCCTAAAGAGCAGCTGTCAGGAATCAACTCGAGCTGCTTACTATTATACAAGTTGTTTTCTTTGTCAGCCCGTAAAAGATTTTGTCCGTAACAGATGAGTTATGAGTCATAACATGATGAGTTATGAGTCATAACATGACATGAAGGGGAAAAATACGGTAGTAAAGTTATAGATGAAAATATTTTTGAAATATTCCGTAAAGTGTTCAGGAGTTGTCGGTAAATACAGTCTTGCGGGGACCAATGTTATACAAGTTATGCAGTTTTTACCCATCGGAACAGCCATAATTTTTATATCGTCTAACACCCCCCCCCCTCTGTCTGCCGGCAGACTCGCGATGAGCGCAGAGGAGGCGGCACGCGGCCCGGCCGACTAGCATGTGGTACCTCCGCGCGGCCGCGCTGCTGTGCCTCAGCTGGCCGGCCACCGCCGCGTGCCCGCCGCCCGAGCGACAGCCGCGCTGCCCCTGCTACGACTTCGACGGCGGCCTCTTCGTCGACTGCAACACGGTGAACGCGTCCGAGGTGGGCGGCGCGCTGGCGCAGGTCCACGGGCCGGTCAAGTCGCTGAGGGTGTACGAACTGGAGCCGACGCTGCGGGAGCTGCCGGCGGACTTCCTCGGGAACGGTACTGTGCGGGAGCTGCAGATCTCCCAGTCCGGCCTGCAGCGACTGAGCGAGCTCAGCCTGGCCGGCGGTGGTGCCGTGCTACAGAGCGTCGCGCTGGTACGGGGGAAACTGAGCTCAGTACCGCGGACGGCGCTGGCTGGACTGCCACAGCTGGTCAAACTGGATCTAGAACACAACGAGATCAGACAGCTGGAGAGCTACGACTTCCACGGTCTGAGGCTCGTCTCACTTGACCTCAAGAGTAACGGCATAGAGACTGTGTCTGAGTACGCCTTTGCTGGCCTCGAGGAGACTCTGGTGTCGCTGAACGCTGCCAAGAACCAACTAACGCTCTTCCCTCTCAGTGCCCTGCGCCGGCTGAAAGTACTCACCACACTGAACCTCGGCTGGAATCACATAGACAAGATGGTACACGACGGCTACAGCAGGTTTGAGCGTCTGGAAACCCTGGATCTCAGCGCGAACCAGTTTACTGCGCTGACGAGTGGTACGCTGGCGGCATTTCCTGCGCTACGGAGGCTTTCAATGCACATGAACCAGGTGGAGCACGTGGATCCCTCCGCGTTCACCGGTAACCGTCTCCTGCAGTCACTAGACCTCAGTCACAACCGACTGCGGGCGCTGCCGGCGGGACTCTTCGCCCGCTGTCCGGCGCTGCGTACCGTGGACCTGAACGGGAACCATCTCCACCAGATCCCAGACGGTCTCTTCGACGCTCACTCGGACCTGAAGGAGCTCTTTCTCGCCAATAACAACCTGCTGCAGATCGCTAACGAGACTTTCGGCAACGCTTCTCGCCTAGCGGTGTTGCATCTCCAGAACAACGCCATAGAGCGAGTGGAGGCGGACGCCTTCGCTGCTCTTCCACAACTGGCGCAGCTGCATCTGAACAGGAATCAGATCCCTGAGCTCCCAGCCATGGTGTTCCACGCCACCAAGGGTCTGACTGTTCTCAGTCTGGATGGCAACAAGCTGAATGACCTCCCTGAGGGACTGTTCTCTCAGCTGGCCAACATCCGGGAGCTGCGATTACAGAACAATCGGCTAACTTCGGTGCGCGCTGACGACTTCGAGTCGCTCACGAGCTTGCAAGAGCTTCACCTCCAACAGAATCGCCTACAAACGGTGGGTGACGCTGCGTTTGTTGGCCTTCACAACCTGCAGCATCTAAATGTGCAGGGGAACCAGGTGCGCCAGCTTGGCGGCGTGCTCAGCAGTACGCCCACCAATCTCATCTCATTACAACTGGACGCCAACGCTCTGACTGGACTCTCAGATTCCACGCTTCGTGGACTCACCGTGCTGGAAATCCTGGGTCTAAACGGCAATACGATCGCTTATCTACCACCTGGTGCACTAAGTGATCTGAGGAGCCTGCGAAAGCTGTATCTGCAAGATAACCTGTTGACTGAACTGCCGAACGGTACCTTTGCTAGCTGTGGCGAACTAACCGTTCTCGACCTTAGTCGCAACAAACTCCGTCGGCTTGATCAGCACAGCTTTGCTGGGCTACGGAGTTTGACAAGACTTGACCTATCAGGGAACGCAATCATGGATATTGCACCCAGGACCTTTGAAACGCTCACGAGTCTTCGTGAGCTAGACCTGAGTGAAAACGAGATCCCTGTGACACATAGGACAATGTTTGAAGGCGGTGTGCCGCTCCGCAGACTGGTGCTGCGTGCTTGTTCCATTACACGAATCGAAGAAGGCACCTTCCAGGACTTACCGGAACTGGAGGAGCTCGACTTACGGGGAAACATGCTGGAAAAGTTGGTGCTCGGCTTTATGTGGATTTCGACACTAAAACGGCTCTCGGTATCGTTCAACAATGTGCGTGAACTCGACCGAAGCGTCTATCACGGAGTGCCCATGCTCGAAACACTCGAAATGGAGAAGATGAACCTCAACAGTGTTTTTGTTAGCCTCGTGGCAGACAACACACAAATCAAGGTGATAAAGCTCGGATATAACAAGCTCACGCACATTGACCCTGCGTTCTTTGGTAATTTAGTGTTTCTGCGTGAGCTGCACCTGAACTTTAATCTATTCAAGAGCGTGTCCTTTCCTGAACTACGCAATCTTGAGGTATTGAACCTGGCGCACAATCAGCTCTCAGAACTCTCAGATGTGTCAGTGCGTGGCTTAACTGGTCTTAAAATTCTCAACCTTTCTAACAATATTATCTCACGTGTGTCGTCTCGGCCGTTCGCGAACCTGGACAGCCTTAACACCGTCCTTTTGCAACACAATTTCCTGAAAGTCGTAGCACCGGGCTCCTTTTATCGTGCATCGATCGTGACACTAAACCTTGCCTTCAACGAGTTCGACATGATTCCACGTTTCGTGACGTCCGACTCGCTGGAGTCGCTGCGCAGTCTGAACCTCACCGGCAACCCTCTGCGAAAGCTGCTTAGCGAGGAGCAGCAGAACGTCGGACGGGTCCCGGCCCTCGAACAGCTGACCGCCTGCAGCACTGCCCTCACCAACATCGCCTCCAACGAGCTCGGCATCTTCCCGAAACTGCGAGAGCTGCGGCTCTGCGACGGCCGCATCACGCGGGTGTCCCCCGGAGCGTTCCGGTCTCTCTCGCAGCTCCGCTCGCTGGATCTGAGCGGTAACGCGCTGGAACGCCTTCCCGCCGAGCGTCTGCGCGGCATGCACGCGCTCCGCCGGCTGAACCTGACGCAGAACATGCTGCGTGAGCTGGACCGTCTGCCGGCCGACCTGGCGACGCTGACCTCTCTCGACCTCAGCGGTAACGCGCTGACGGACATACCCCCGGAGACGCTGTCTGCTCTGACAGCGCTCACCGAGCTGAGAGTCGCCGACAATCGCCTCCGCCGGCTGGACGGGCGCAGTCTGACCGGCCTGTCCGAGCTGCAGCAGCTCGACCTGGCCGATAACGCGCTGCCGCGTCTGCCGCTGCAGCTGCTGTCAACGGTGGAGGTGCGACTGAAGTATATTGCGCTCACAGGTGAGTTCCAAGGAGGGTTTGGGAGGAGAGGGTAACGCTGTTATTTGACAATAGGGAGGCATTAGCTGTCGAGTAGCGTATGGAAAGGTGTTATTGATCGAATGACAGTGGGGCATTTTTTATTGTGGTGTCCAATATCTACTTAGCAACACACGAAACCAACTTTTTCTCTTTTTTTGTATCCTTTTCTTTTTTGTCATCCTGTCCTTTTGTATGGGAATAGAAACGGTGTCGAAAAGCTAAAATGTACGTATAGAAATACCAATTATTGAAGCCATTTAAAACTCGTATCGCATAAAACTTGCATTCGAGCTTAGCTGTCATTTGCTTTTCAAAACTGATGTTTTCATAAAGCTACTTTTTTAAATCCATTACTGACGTATACGCTGACTAGCATGTCCCGCTTAATACCGAAATTGACCAGTTCCCAGTACACACTTCTCTTCATACACGCAGACTTTTCTAAGTCTCTGCCCAGCAATATTTAAAATTCAGCGATGAGCGAGGGACTTTCAACGGCATGAACTTCAAACGAACATGAATCGAATTATCAAACCTTCATACAGCTATCCCATTTTTCACGAGCCAGTACTGCCAAACCGAAAGTTACACATTAATAGCAACATAATCGCGTTAAAACCACATTTGTGCGAATGACTGGCAGGATATGCGAATACTCTCGCTAATAAAGCAGAAAATTCGCAGCTTTATATCTCCGAAACTGTCCCATCCAGAGGCGCGGCACAGTGCGCCGGTGTTTCGGGCTCATTCGAGGAGAGAGCGGAGACTGGTCTGAATGGGTTTCAGCGGCGATTCCGCTGATAGGACACGATATGCCAATCTGCCGAGCTGGCTGCTGGGGCGGCTGCACCAGGACCGGGGTGCGGTGACCTGGTGATGGTGGTGCGGCGACCTGGTGATGGTGGTGGTGAGGGCTGGGTGAGAAGGTTGTGAGGGCTGGGTGGGAAGGTGGTAAGGGATGGATGGCCACCCGGATGCCTCGGCGAGGCAGCGATATCCGTATTGTTCAGTGCATTGATGTCAAAAAAGCCACATGAAACTGTTAATTCAGCTAAGTGACGTTTAAACGCCACAAGGTCACCCACATTATCAAAATACTTCGGTCTCAGATCTCGCCTCAGCCTCAAAACGGCGCCCAAATGCCACTGAATGAGCGCGACAGATGAAGCCGGGCTGAGCCGTCTGACGACCCGCCCGCCTCCGTCCGAGATTCTGGTCTGAGGTGTTAGGGAATTGCGTTTCCGACAGTCATTGTGCGATACTGATTGAAGCTCCAGCAAAGGAGGGGATCTGGCGAACAGCCTACGATACCAGCGATAGATTCTATCAAAGTCACCTTTCTAGATGCATATGAATAGGATATTGATGAATTTTATGAAATTCAACTTTTTTTTTAACTGCGTATACTGTATCAAGGCGGGACAGCTAGCGCCTTTTAAAAAATATAATATGCACGCAAACAAATTTTTTAGCACACTTTTGTCCAAAAGTACCTTTGCGCTGCCTTTATAGTCACGCTAGCGGGGACAGTGGCCTAATGCGACCTGAGTTGACTCTGGGGCACTCTGAATGGCCGGTGCTCTGCAGCTGCGCGCAGTTAATTGCCTAATATCCATAACCATATCTGGTGTCATATCCCCGGCCAGCGTAATTACCTCATATGCATAACCATCACGGGTGCCATGCTCTTAGTGCGTTGAAAGCTGCGTTAGTCTTACGGCGTGTGGCTGTTGGAAGGCTCACTGTCACGCTGTCACGGTGGCTGACGGCCAGTGGCAGCGGCGGTGATGGGGGAATGACTGCACCTCTGACTGGGCCCAGCCCGGGGACCGTGACCAACTCGTACGCGACCTGGCCACCGGCGGCGGGCGGACGGAGCGCCGGCCTGCATAAAACCGCTGATGGCGGGCACGTGCCGCGACTGCGGCGGCCCGGCCGTGAGAAAGGTGACGATCGAGGCCCGATATTGGCGGCCAGCCGCGAGAGGAATGTGACGGCCACAGCCCGGCCGGCGTGCCAGCTCGGCAAGGTCGAAACAGACGCGGTGATGAGCCGTACTTTTATTACAAACTCTTACAATCATTTGTATAATTGTATGAGAGGATGCTTTATTCCCAACGTGCAGTAAGTAAATTATTTAGGGTTCTTTACATATGCATTTTCAATTCCGTCTTCATCTGCCAACTAAAAGGGCAGCCAGCGGGCAGCGATAGAACAAAATACACGCATTGTAATGCATCGTATTTCCATTATTCAATAACAAGGTCTTGTGTAAATTTAGGACGCCGTTTTCTACAGTTAGAACATAATTTAGTCATTTTAGGCAGTGAAACGTTAGAAAACCATGTTCTTACAGGAAAACATCATTTCCCCAGCGACTGTGTCCCTTGTTGACGACAGTGCTTGAGCCCTAAAATGGTTTAACGACGCCTGTAAAGCGCGCCTCACTACAGCTGACCCTCACGCAAAGCCAGCTGCACTGCAGTCGGGCCGCGCCCGTTGCGACTCTATTCCAGCCGGCAGTAACAGCGTACAACCGGTCCCACGATTGAGCCATATCAGGGACCATAAACGGTGAAATGCGGCTGCGGCGGCGCTTCTAATATCGCGGCGCTGCCGACTGGGGCCTGCAGTCGGCCATCTGTACCCACAAATCCACCCGAGGACTGATCATCTCCCGTGGCCGGCGTGGGTCATCGGCCCATTCCGGTGGGCTGGCGCGGCAACTGGAAAATTTGGGTGGGCGGCACGGTGTCTGGAAGTTCAGTCAGGCCCTTGGGACGACCAGAAACGGCTTAGTCTGGGAACAGAGCGTGAGAAAATGGAACGAAAATGGTCCCGTTATTGATTTAGCCGAGCCAGTGTTAGGGATGTCACATCCACTATTTCTGCGATGTGGATGTGTTATGACGTGGAGGATATAACAATGTAAATACTCGTACCGAACGACGGTCTCACACTTTGGACTACTTTTCGAGGCCGCTTTATTTTGATAGGCTTGATTCAAATAGGTAGGTACGATTTTAGCTATGCTGTGTGGTCAGCTCCCAACCGTATAATGCAAGATCCTTACATACTTAGCCACTTTTCTAATCATTTATTACATCTAAAAAGGTATTAGATAGACCTAACATATTTTAAACTAGTGTCATCTGATATCAAGGTGGTTGACCGCCTTCATTTAACTTTCATATTTCCTCTCGCTACATCAGTATTTTCCTCGCCCAGTTCTTAATCGCTGTCATCAAGAAACTTCGCGGGGTGTCCCGGCCTTTGGGCGTGCCGGCAGGGTAATTCAATATTTGCCACTCGACGAACTTTGCCGCGCGTTAAGACCAAGGCATTACTCACTAGGTAACTTTATGACCGGCGCAACGGAGGCAGCGATTTCTCCGTCCTTCTTCTGCCAGAACACATGACTGTGCTCAACAAGCGATGTTCACATTCGGTTCGCTCATTTCACTACGAAGTTCGCCTACGTTTGCAGAATAAGCAAGCATTCAGTTTTCTTTTCAATTATCCAAACGCAAGCACAGCACATACTAATCTAGGCATTGGCGAGCTGAGTAACATCAGCACTGTTATTGACAAACCACTTACACACCTCTATTCAGTCGAAGCGAAATACAGACGCGTTATTTGTTGAGCTGGAGAGACAAATCACTTCCTTTCTGAGCGCCCCCCCTGCGCCGATGGGCGCACCTTCCCCCTCCCCTGTGGAGAGTGCCGTGTCCCGGCCCACTCCACCGATGGAGGCCCTCATTTCTCGGCAAATTGAATTCACCACTGGAAGCGGCGCCGCGGCTCCGCCGAAATGCGCCACTCCCGTGTTTTGAGACGGCCGCGGAGCCGGCTCTGCGGGCTGTGGGTGACGCTGGTGACGGGCTCTCTCACATCAGTGCTCTTTGGGAGCCGTTTGGGGTGTCCTGTCACACCCTGGAGTCTGCAGCTCCAGTGGTGGATTGAGTGGCTGGTGGGAGGTGTTGCGCTCACCACGGTAGACACAAAGGCCCAACGAACGACAAAACCACTTGCCGCGTCTTATAAACCATAGTCCGCTGTTGTCTTTATGATCAAATAAGGATTCAGAGACACAGAGGTGAAACAAAGATAAATTAGCGAAATGTGACAAAATGTTACCTGATGCGGATGACGTGCGTAACAGTGGTGAAGTGCTTAGACGTGCTGAAGAAACAACACAAAATGGACGCAACGTACACGACTGGACGAAGTATTGCATGCTGTATCAATGTGTAACGAGTGAGACGGACGTGACGTGGACGGACGTGACGTGGACGGACGTGACGTGGACGGACGTGACGTGGACGGACGTGACGTGGACGGACTGACGCTGCAGACGTGACAGCCGTGACGGGCGACATGATGTGACGGATGTGACAAGACGAGTTGTCCGACGTGATGGTCAGCTATGTGACAGCGGTAGCAGGCTTCACTGACATCCGATTATATGGTGGACGTCACACTTTTAATCTGTCCATCGCTGATAACAAGGAGCGCTGTCAGTAACGTGCCGTTCAAATATCATCTCTGATCACATTGTAATGATATTTATGCTCAAAACCTGAGCATTAGTATTAGAAAATGGTGGCTTGAAATGTGATCCCATCTTTTTGAAGGCAATGTGGTCAAATATCAATCTAGATAATATCGATGGCTGACAACTCATTGGAAAAGGAATGACCTAAAATATAATTTAGCTCACCAAAGCCCAAATGGAGCCGCAACCCAACATCAGCGCTAACTATACCTTCCGACTAACTAGCCTCACTCATGCTTCGCAGGTCAGTAATTATGCGTGGCCCATCTAGCCGAACAATCAGACCCCGATTAGCTGCCAGTGCGTTCCGCGGGGCGGGTAGAGCACCGGAGCGCTCCCCGCTCTGCCCGCCGCGGTCTAAGCGGCCCACAGGTGCCCCGAGATCGAACTATTGACGCCGCCTACCGGTCCGCCGTTCCCA